AAAGACCTCATTTTCAGCTGCGCAGTGGATCTTGCCCAACCATCCTGCCTCAGTTTCCACTTTTTGCTCAGCTCAGGGTTTTCTTTTTTTGCTTGATAATTGATGCCTGGTTACCTCACCCAAGTGCAGGTCCAAGTAAAACACTCAGCAAGGAAGGAATGACAAGCTACAGGTGAGTCTGAGTCCAAAACCCTTAAAGGTCTAGCCCTGTGTCAAACTGCATTGACTTCAGTGTGGCAATGACTCAGGCCCCCATATCTACAAGATGTAGAATACAAAGCAACATTCAGAAACTCTGTAAACAGCTCACTTTGATAGAAAGAATATTTACTTAGTGTTAGCATGACATTTAGGACTAACATAATTGGTTGGTGGTCTCTTCTAGGCTAGTCAGCTTTTTCTGTAATGCTTCTCTTTTGACAGCAATTTAAAAAAAATATGAAAACTGAATATTTTGTTAAGCCATTTAATAAAAAGCCTAATTTGTTAAATAGTGTTTTTTAAATGTCAACACTACCTTTAAAGAAAAATAAGAAGTAGAGTTGGCTGAAGCTAATGGAGTTTTCCGTTTACTTGTGTGAATAAAATATAAAAACCATAGGTCCAACAATTAAAAAAAGGAACTTATTTTTATTAAAAATGATTAATGCTTAGAGAATAAGTCAAAGGCTGGAAAATAAACTATTCAGTGCTATTGGCTACTGGAAAAGTCATTTTTAATAGTTAACCCTCAGAGCTACTCAGCAGCTGGAAAAGCAACTTATTTTATTATAGATGTTTTGTTAAACTTCATGTAGTTTAGTTTAAAAAATAAAGTTTTAGATCTAAAGTCACTAAATGGCCTTGTGTATTAAGACAAGTTGTAGATATGTCTGTACATAGATATCAAGAACCTTTAATGTTAAAAGAGGTGTTAGTCAATTATAACAGAATGACAAATGCTCCAGAGAACTGCTAACAACTGCCCTAGTGTGGCAGGTCCATGCCCCAGTGGTGGTCATGATGCCCCCTGTGGCCATGTGACTCCTGTCCAGCTCAGTCTCTATTAGAGCCCTCCCTTGATTGCTTGCCCACCACGTTTTGTTCTTACTAGAGGTTGAATAAGGGAGGTTACCCATGGGCTGTAGGATGAGCCTTAGTCCATCTGTAGCACCACCAGGTCTCTCCTGCACACCCAATAGCATTGATTTGACCCTCAAGCTCAGTGGGCTCTTTTGGCTGATCTGTGCCTCTGCAGGGTGCCTGTAGCTACTTGCATACCTGTGCCTCTTCAGGGCGTCCGTAGCCTTAAGGGATCAATGTGTAGCTCCATTCCTACCCTATACTACACCCCAAACCTTGCAGGTATTCGCACAAGGTTAGGGCTGGAAGGGACCTCATGAGATCATCAGGTCCCCACTGAGCCTCTAAGTGTTCTCTCTCTTTGATGTTGCCTATTTATACGGTCAGCTATCTTGGGTCTTTAGCTCCCTTGGCCCCTTACATAGTCTCCCACCAGGCTTCCAGACCCTCTAGTCTCACATGCAATGTGCCTCTTCTGGGATCCTGGACTCTCTAGACCAGTTTAGCCCCTTCTGGACTTTTGGACCCTCTGGCCCAGTTCAGCCCTTCCCTGGGCAAGTGGCCCCTCTGGTCCAAGTCTCAGCCTTTCCCTAGGTTCCCTTGAGGCACAGCAGGGCTCAAGGCTAAACCTCCAATGCCACTTAAATAAAAATGCATCTCAGCCCTCTGGCAGGCACCTCACACCCTCTTGGGGTTTAAGATAAAACAAAGGCCACTTGCTTGTAAAACGACATCTTTCTTCACCCAGGTGACCTACCTCTGCTCCCAGGCCTGCAGAGTTGCTTACATAAATCCAAGTCCCTTCAGGAGCCCTGCTGGCAGAAGCTCCTCTCTTCATGGCTGCTAGGTAAAGACTGCCTGACCAGTTCAGACTCTGGGCTTATTATATAGCTCAACCCTGAGCACTCTTCCAGGCAGGTGAGTCTCATACATACGTTTAAAAAAACCACATTAAAAAAAATCCCAGTTTGAAATCCCTTAATTATGCTTGATTTGTCCTTATTGTCAGGGGACTGAGTGACAACTTCATGTACCTAGATTAAGACACTATATGAGACAGACTTTCTTTTTCTAACCTGTTTTTTAATCATATTCATAAATGCAATCAAACCATGGAAATAAGTTACCTGCTGTGACTGGCGTTTAATCTTAGGAAGTGGCCACTACTGATGAATATGCAATATGATGCATAAAGCAAGAACAGTATAAAACATAAAGCAAGAAATGAAAACAAGGCTAAAATTTTGGGAGGCACATAAGGGAGTTAGGCCATATGCCATTCAGTTCCAGCCCAAGAGCTCATATCATCCCAACTAGTCATTAAATACCCAGGAAATTCTGTGCATACTAGAGTGAGGTTGCTTAAGTAAAAAATGTTGAATTGATGCTCCTGCATGCTATTAACAGATTCTGGGCCTTATTCTGACCAACTGAACCATTGTAAACCTAGAACAATTCCACTGGCACATTGTACAAATCAGACTTTCTGGGAAGCATTCTGTGCAACAAATGAAGTGGGTAAGACTATGCTGAAGTTGTGAAAATCTCCCCCTACCGATATGATATATCATGATTCATTCACAAATAGGGCAACAGATAGCAATTTAACCAAATGCACTCATCCTAGGATAAATTTTCTGCAGTCATTTGACCCACAATGTAATCACTGTGGTTTGCAGAGTTGCAGGTTGGAGTGTTTGTATATAACATGGTTCAGCATTGAGCAAAACTGATCCATACAAAGAACTCAGCAAATTCACCACAGAACTTCAGTATCCAGGTCCCTATGCGACTTCTATATCTATCCATAGAAAAGTACAAGGCACATCTAACAGGTTTACCAGAGGCAGAAACTCTCCTTCTAGTGCCTATTTTCATTTCTCCCAGGCACTAATATCATAGTAATGAGCACAGTATAAATAGATACTTTCTAATGCTCTAAAACAGGGTTTTTTCAACCTTTAAGGAGTGTATCCCTTTTTGGGTACACTTCTGGAGGAGCAGGGGCAGGGCGGGGGCTGGCAGTGGCCAAACACAGAGCAGGCGGGGGGTGAGTAGTGGTGGCCAGATGCAGAGCCGGG